ATATTTCGAATTTGTTTTAACAAATATGCTTTGGAATACATTTTTAAACATTGTTAGGATAAATAGCAAATTCTAACGTAAAATTTTGTTTATCAACCATAAACATAATTTTAACTCGAAAAAGGGTGGCAGTGTCTTGAAAGATTCTGTTTTTAGTCTGGATGCAAGTAATAAATACATCACCAAAAAACTGAATTTCTTTAAATTTAATAAATATCATATTTCTACCTAAATTGTTCGTCTATTTAATGTTTTACTAAATTTCCTTCACATAAGTTCAAGAGTTGCATTATTCGAACCAGTACAAGGATGTTTATTGTTTACTTGTACCGGCCCGTCTAGTGTACCCAGTATTTGGTTGACCCAGCGCGTTTTATGCAACATAATTAGAAAAAACTATATAAAACCATTTTAAAGCACAAATCCCTTTGTTCTATATGGATTATTTCTAGTCGATGCTTTTGAAAATATAATCAGTTTTTAAATGATAAACTTGGATATCNCCCCTCCCGACGTAATCTGCTGTACACTGTACTAAAAAGAAACATATACTTTATACTGCAGTGCAAGGAATATTGTCTATTATTCACTTTAGTACAAAGACCAAACTTCTGTACATTGTTGTACATGGAACTTTCAACTGTACACTATAAACAGTAAAAGGCAAAAACTTCTGAACATTGTAGTACAAGAAACTATTTGCTGTACATTACAATACAAAGCTAAAACTTCTGTACATTGTAGTACAAGAAACTATTTGCTGTACATTACAATACAAAGCTAAAACTTATGTACATTGTAGTACAAGAAACTATTTGGTGTACATTGCAATACAAAGCCAAAACTTCTGTGCACTGCAGTAAAATAAACTAACTACTGTACACTGCAGTACAAAGCTCAAACAGCTGTACACTTCAGTACGATGAACTATCTATTGTACACTGCAGTGCAAAGCCTAAACTACTGTAACCGTACAATGAACTGTCTTCTTTACGCTGCAGTACAAAGCCAAAACAGCAGTATACTGCTGTATAAGGAACTGTCTCCGTTCAATCAGATGCAGTACATTTTGCCTGTGCGAATGATCTGTACAACGCGGTACAATGAACTTGATATATCTATATCAATACCATCGCCTTTATTGAGTTAGATTCTGGTGGTGGATTGGTTTTAGTATTCTATCCTTGTAACTCCATTATCACATCACGTGACATAAGAGACAAGAGCTAAAGTGGTTTTTAAACTTAATTATCATTATTCTGAGATAAAAAATAGCTTTAAGCCTGAATACTAGAAAAGCAAAAAAACTGTATAAACCATAATTAACCATATATCCACACAGACAACTTAAATCACAAACTAGACACAACCAAAAATGGTAATATGTCAAACTATAAAAAACTTATTCCCCGCCACACCTCCTCTTATCCCCGCCACACCTCCTTTCTACCCCTGCTACGCCTCATCTCTACCCCCGCAACACCTCCTCTCTACCCCCTGCTACGCCACACCTCCTATAATCCGTACAAACACTAAA